ATTCAGGCCAGAAACAAGGCATGGTATACAGGGCCGGCTCCAGGCACCAGTTTAACAAGCAGGTGCTTGGGGCAGCCAAGGGAGAGGGGCGGCATCTGCGGCAATTTCGGGGGTGGCAGGTCTCTCACTCCCTCTAGGAGCGAAGGACCTGCCTCTGAACTGCCGCCGCCGATCGCGGCTTTTTTGTTTTTATAGATCTGTTGAAATCAGTGGAGCTAAACCAGTATATCCCACATGGCCCTGTATTTTTTCCATTAATTGTTTTTTGTATTATATAAAAATTTACTCTTATTTCAGGCATGGGGAAATGGACTTTTGATCAATGAAATTTGCATATGCACTAGGGATGTGATATCAAACACATTCATTTTGATTTAAAAGATTTTTTTTTAAATTGTAATATTAGGTACACTAGACAACATTAATGAATATTTTACTGGAATTTTTAAGATGAAAATATGTACAGATATTTAACTGAACGAATCAGGAATTCTGCAATATTCATTGGAACTAAGCAGTGCCAAATAACCAGCACTAGCTTTATGCTATTTAAAAAAAAATAAAACAAAACGTTAATTCTTCACGGCTAAATGCGTTAGCTCGATGCAGTGCTTATTGCAGAATCCAGGTTTTTAATTTGCATTATACGCCTTCCCCACAAATCCCTTAAAACAATACATTTTTCATACAAAAATAAAAATAAAAATGAGAACAGCAACAACAACAACAACAACAAGAAACTTACAATTGTCCTGGCAGGCAATCTGGCATTCTTCCAAGGCCTTAAAGTTGTTCTGATTTCCCAGGCATCCACCATACATGAACTTTTCACACTGCTGTGACTCCTTGTTATAGAAATATCTGGAAAAATAGCCTCGACAGATTCCAGGGTCTTGCTCCATAAAACAGAAGTTGGGCTTTTCTGTTGAAAATAAAGATTGAGGAGAAAAATATAACCCATGTTCTCTGTGATCAAAACTACAACAGAACTAGAAAAACTTTTTAAGAGAGGCCTGTAACTTCAAACTAAGGAGTGAAAAAAACTAACAAAAATCTCACTGCAATACTGCATTGGAGCATGAGAGCAAAATAATTTTGATTGCCTGCTCCTCACTTATCATATAGCAAAGCTCCAGCTACAGTGAATTATCTGTGTGATCTGAAACAGAAGATTTGATGACCAATCAAATGATAGATGTTCTTAGTAAGAAACTGACTCTTTGAATCAAAGAACGAATTATGTCTTGCTTATCTTATTTGAATCTTACTACAAATTATTCATCACTTGATAAATGCATCAAGTCAGTATTAGTGGGAGTTATAGAAGCAGAGAGAAGGAGGTATAAAGAACTAATGCTAAAATAGAAGGGAAAGGGGACATAACTTAAAGGAACAGAGTGTATTTTGTCTCAGACGTTGAACTGTTGTGCAATGGGACAGAAATCTGGGGTGAGATTTAGCATCACTTTTGAATCTAGTTAGTACTACATGATTACAGCACAAACCAAGAAAATATGGGAAAATCATACAATATTCAGACAAGATTAATATAGAGATCTGAAGACCCATCATCTTGGGCTATGGCAGTAAAGGGAAAAGCAAAATGATTCTTGATTTTGTTAGCTTCTGTCATAGCCATAAGGTTAGCCTTAAAGTGTAGATATTCATTTTATTTAATTTTTCTCTAAATGAAGTTAAGAAATAAAATCATGGCAGGAAATAAAACATAACTGTGATTTTGAGTCATTCTGAACTGTCAGGTACACATATGTTGAAATATGCATTCTGTATCTGATTGACTGACTAATTAGGTAAATGTATATTTAGGCAACCACACAAAACACTCATTATGTGTGAGATATAGAATAGTGAGAATGGATCTGTTTGAGCCACTGTGGCCTGCCAGTTGAATGTAAATGGTCAATTACACCAAGTAAATCTACAGTAATCCCACTGAAGTCAGTGAAGGTGCTTAGAATTAACTCTGGTATAAATGAAAGCAAACTCTGATCCATAATTTAAAAGGTGTCACTTATCAGATACACATTTGACCAAAACATCTAATTCAGAACTATTATGGAATATTGTATATTTAAATATTTATTATAATTTGTTACATTCAAATTATATTTATGAATATGTGTATGTGTATTTATGAATATGTATTAATTTAATATTAATAATACCTATTTTATAAAGGCACCCATACCCTATATTATGAATGCATAATTTTAGTCGGTCTTAGAAATAGAACTGGTTGGAGAAACTTTGATGGAACCATTTTTCATCGGAATATGCAGTTCCATCAAAATCAAAACACATCATGAAATTAGGTCGATTACATCAGAATAGAAAAAACATGGAAAAAGTTCTGGCAATGTCAACATGTCCCAGTTGAACATTTTCAGAACAAAACATTTCGAATTTTCATTTTGAAATGATTTTCATTTCAATTTTTAAATATTTTCTATTATATTGTTATACTATTTTCATTTTGTTAAAATGAAACATTTCAAATGACCCAAATTTTAAATGAAGCCATGTTTCAAAATCTCAGAATGCTTTATGAAATGAAACTTCCATCCTTCCTAGATCTCTGCTTAGAAATGCTGTTGATGTCTTGTACTTAGCAAAACTTTTTGTGACGCTTCAACGAGATAATGTGCAGATATCATCATTAAAAAGTAAATCAGACTATCTTAATATTTTATTTTAAGTAACCAAAGTGAATAATATTCAAAAATTGTTTACTACCTACATTTCATTTTACATCTGGGCTGTTTGTAGTTAGATTGAAAAATTGCATCTTCTGCCAGTAAATACATTTACAATACAATTCAAGCATAACACCATTTGGATTAGCATCATTCATACAAAATGCATCCCAAGGCACTTCACAGAGTTACAAAATGCACTTTGCACAGGACAATGAAGTTGAGTGGTCTGGGAAGGGAGACACTATGCTTTCAGCTGAGAATTTCAATGAGATAGATAGTTGCTTATATAGAATGGCACTAAAAGGCTCTCTCAGACAATAGGCCCAGCAGAGGGGAAGGGTTTTTCACCAAATGCTGCACAACTACTCTTGGGGGAATTCTGTGCCAAAATATTAAAAAATTTGGTGCACAATATTCTAAAATTCTGCAAAATTCTGCATACACCTCTACCCTGATATAACGCGACCCGATATAACACGAATTCGGATATAACGCGGTAAAGCAGCGCTCGGGGGGGGGGTAGGGCTGTGCGAGCCGGCGGATCAAAGCAAGTTCGATATAACGCGGTTTCGCCTATAACGCGTTAAGATTTTTTGGCTCCTGAGGACAGCGTTATATCAGGGTAGAGGTGTATTTTGTCAAAACAACACAATATAATCACGCTCTTCCTGACAGCGGGAGCCCCAGCAGTCTGTGCCATTGGCAGGAGTGCTGGAGGGAGGAAGAATCACTAATTCTGTGGGGAAAAAATAAAATTCTGCAAGAAACATTTATTCTGTGCAAATTCTGCATTACGCAGTGGCACAGAATTCCAGCAGGAGAAACAACATAATGAAAGAACAAAGAAGGACCTGTGTTAACTGAATTAAGGGAGCTGGAGAAAGATTGGATAATAATTCATATTGCTTAAACAGCGGATCGGCTTGCTAGAAAACTTAAAGCTGATATTAAAATGTGCTCTTGTGATGAAATCTAGTACACTGAGTTTTAGCTCAGAGCTAATTTGTACAGCTGTCATAAGCTTTTCAAGATTAGCAGTTATGAAGGATAAGGTGATGATGCAACCTTGAATATAGTGACATACGCAAATGCTATCATTGTGTATCTGAGTCGTCCTGTCCTTCCCTGGAGACTTAATATCCAAGAGTGTATTACTACAGAAATAGTCAACATTTAATACTGTTGATGATTAGCTACAACAGCTGAGTTTTGCAGGGCATTTGCTGTTCTGTCATGGAAAGCATGGAAATGAGGGTTAGACCTTCAGGGAAATATTGCCAAACTTCTGCAGCATCTGTGGAAAGTCAACTTTAAGGACTCCATGGTATAAAATCAGGTCCCTTTTTCAAACTATACTTTTTATAGTGATTGTTTAGAAATTTTTGAAGACTAATTGGTTTGAAAAATACCAGAATATTAATTTACAAACATAAAAAATGAGAGTAGTTCAGTACATTTATACTTGTAAATGTGCCATATCTGTGTGGGGTAACATCCACTCCAAAACAGCCCCACCTTCATCGCCAAGAAGAACAGCATGCGTATGCCCATGCACACAAAGGAGAAGAGGGAGAAGAGCTGGTAAGCAGAGGAAAAGAATTTACTAGCAACATAAAATACTAAGTTCTATGAAGTTAGTGGGGCTATTTGGCCATTTCAGACCACAAAAGGCCTCAGACTACAGTGGAATCTTTGACATCAAGTGGATAGGCAGCAATGATAGGATAGCATAGTGCTGTGCTTCTTCTGATTAAATTTGGGGTCTCCCTTTTTCACAGATTAATGAGTATATTCATGTTCGCTATGAAAAAAAAAGTTACACTCCTGGGGCAATGGCAGAAAATGTGGATATTTTAGAAGCTCTGAGTTTTAATGGTGTTAGTCAACTCAATTAACCTGTATTGTTAAGCCACTACTGTCTAATGTTTATTTCTTACCTGAAAGCACAATAGTCTGAACATGCAAATACAAAATCCTTTTTATTCACGACTATGCAAACAATAATCACAAGCATACAGGCTAAACAAACTATAATTGTCAGCTCACTAACTCCTTAGCAGAGGAAGTAATTGAATGGTAAAATCATTTTAGTGCCGTGGAAAAGGCAATACCTTCATCTCAGATTCCCCTCTGAATTTAATGTCCTCGTAACTCTTGAAGAATCAGTTAAAGTCCCCCTTTCCTCATTACTGAAGGAATGGGAAAAAAATGCTTAACATTTTTATTTTGGAGAGGAGGGGTTGCTTGCTATTGGTTTAGTAATCACTGTCATCCCAGATACTCTCAGTGAATACCGAGGACTCTGACGCCATTTAAGCCTGAAGTTGCTCAATATCAGAATGTATTCTGGAGCACTGATCACTTTTAGAGATGCAACAGGGGACCTACCATAAAAAAGTCATTCCCTATTGTCTCCAAATAAGACACTGCTAAGTAATTACAATATTAAAATTACCTTTTCCAAATCTTCTACGGGTTTTCTTCACCGGGAATTCTGCAATAGAAAGAAAAAATATATATTTTTAAATGAATAGCAAGAGGTTCATCTCTAGAATGAGACTGTGGCATTTAACCAAAGCCCTACTTTGGGGAGAATATGGAAAAAAATCGCTATTGCAACATCCCTAGGTCTTGTCTACATTAGAAAAATATTGCAAATATTTTACACTTTTGCTAACACTGGTTTCAGCGCTATTTACATGGAAACGCCTGCTATAGCTGTGCTACTGTGACATGGGGGAGGATTCCTGGCCCCACTGAAGACAATAGCAAAACACCCATTGACTTCAATGGAGTGAGGATTTCACCTCATGTCATTTAAGTTTGCTCAGCACAGGTTCAATAGACAGAATGCTTTAAATATCATTGGCAGCCAGTGGCTCATCTATACCAGGCAACCAAAGCACACATACCAGAGGAGCTGCATCTGGGGTTACCTATATAGACAAGTTTTTAGAGAGATTGTGGCAACTGCTCCCCTCTTCAGACAGCCCACTCTGCCACCTTATATACTGACAGACTTTCAATGATACCTTGGATTCGAAGTCCATTCTCCAAAGTGACTTAGGCACTTATGCTCCTATGTAACCTAGGCTCTTGACAATTTTAATCACCTGTCTACATTGAATTTGTCTACTCCGATTTAAAACAGTGTAATCCTTTTTCTAGCAAAAGCTAGGTTTAGATATGGTTCTAGAATGGTATGGACATGGCTTCAAGTCTCCATGCAGATGTGGCCCAACCACAGCAATTGTTCAGCTGTTGCAGCACTGCGGCTAGTATTAGCAGGGCACACAAGAACTGGGATTGTCTTTAGCCTCTTTGTTGTGGTGCAAGGTTTTTGGGAAAGCTCCTTGTGCCCTCTCCCCTTTCCTCCATTCACACTCATGCAGAAATAGGCACAATCTAACTCAATATTTCCAAAGTGATGATCCTATTCATTTCACTGATATTAAAAATATGCTCAATATTATTTGTTTTAAAACTGCCCTTCCTTCAACCCATGGTTACATTTAAGAACTGGGATATTTGACTTAAAAAATGAATCCTATATTTTCTCACTTGACCCACTGACATACTGTCTAGGAATTTGAAGTTCATTCATGCAACTCTAAAATGAACCCCAAGACATTTTCCATTTTGCTCCTATAATCAAACCCCAGTATCGGAGCCTGAGCCAAAGCCCATAGAAGTCGTCAATGGAAAGCTTCTCAGTGC